GGGCGTTGGCAGCTCGCTTTCCTTTCGCATCCTCCCTCCCCGCCGCCCCGGAGAGAAAATGCCCCCTCTTCCCCGGCGCAGATTGGCACAAGGTGCCTGCTGCACCCTGACATCTCCCTGGACCCATTGTGATTTAAATAACAGCCCTTTCTCATCTAAACAAAGCATCTTAATAGCAGATGCAAAGAATTCAGCTCATCTGAAAATCCAATAGCATTTAAGTGGATTAACTGCAATAACACAACTGAGGAGTGATACTATCCTTCATGGAAGACAATAGACTGTAAATGCACAGCCAGGGAGACTTATCCTTTCATCTCTGAATTTCCTTCAGCATTTCAAAAGCGAATGCTTTCTAGAAGCCCTGAAGGGGTTTGCACGCTACTGGCTTGGACATGCTTCTAGGAAACAACCTGTGCTTTAATGGGCACTTTGCAATTGCATAGAAGTTCCCACCAAAACAGAAGTGGCCTTTCAAGTACGTTTAATTCTCTCTCATGATGTCATGTAGACTTACAGGGTGGTCTCCAGGACCACAAGGGGGGGGGAAAAAAGGTGGGGGTTGAAAAGAGAGAAAAGGAAAAGAGATGTAAAAGATTTGGAAGCACTTTAAAAAGGAGAATGCTTTTTTTTTTTTTTAAGGCAGAAAATGCTGAGCCAGTGTGGAGCCATTCTCAAATGCCTCTTGGTATAAAAAAAAATGATGCGAGTGACACACTGCAGCAGACCCATCCACGCAGGCTGCGCTGGCAAGCAGCAGGGCAAGCGGGAGGCAGACCAGGGCAGGTCATTCTGGTAGTTGCCATCACTTTCTTACACGGGGGTTGACATCGCAGAAGTAAAAAGCGATGACTTTAGTTTAAAAAAAAAAGGTCTCGTCTGCACTTATCATTTGCTGGGGTCAAAGAAACAATTCTTATGGTCTGTGTTGTCATAGTAATAAAAAAAAATAATTACCAAACAGTGAAACAGATTCTGACAGTACCGGCTCGCCGAGCATTTACTCCTCTCCTTCCCTCCTTCATTGGCCGACGTGTCTGGGATCAGAAGTGCTGGGTATTTGTAGCTCTTTCAAGTGGTATTCCACTGCTAAAGCCAACATAGAGATAACTACTGCTTTATCTATTGGTAAAAAAAAAATCTATGCAGTTTTGATTTTTCTTACATTTCCCTCATTTTATGAGAAACATACTGCATCAGCATCTTTTTTAAATCTGTCATTGTGGAGCTCAGATAAGCATCTTTCCTCTGGGTCGAGTTACACTTGGAGTAGCTTTTAACATTAGACTGTTTATACAGATCATTGCAAATATTTGATAATAATGCAAAATATGTAAGATCCCCGAAGAGACCAAAGACCAGGGAACGTAAATAAAATTCACACAGATTCTGCAAACAACTTTATACTTGGGTTGTCTGTCTGCTTACGAAACGCATTTTCTCCTTGTCTATTGTTTGATCTAAAAATGCATTTGTGCCGTCTAAGTTCTTACAAGCATACAAAGCTATGTCTGCGTGAAAAACATCACACAAGTGCATCTTTACTTCAGCATGGCACCTTCCTCCGGTCTACGAGTCTATTAAACATGTGTGCACCAAACATGAAATATCATCTTTTATGTAATACCTACAAACCACACGTGGAAAGGGTGACGGGATGGTATTTATAGGTTTAAAAGAAAATCAGTACAAAGAACAGAGCACCAGAAAATTAGCTTTCACACTTTTTTATTTATCTGAGATCAGCAGCGAAGATATTGCTTGTCTAATTTAAAGCACGTACTGTTAGAAGTCCCTCAAATGTCAGGAATTATAATAGAATTACACTATGACAGAGTGTCGAGAGGGAGGATTTCCAGGGTTTGCACAGCACTTGGCATGGGGGAAGGGATGCAGAAGCTCCTTGACACGAAATGAAACTACTTCAGTGGCACCAGTGCTTTCTGCAGGCGGTGACGCATGAAGCCAGGGTGCCCCAAATCAGGCTTCCAGCACCGGCTACAAAGCTCATTTAAATCTCTGCTGGCTCAGTTATAAACACAGGTCAAGCCATGTAGCGGGACCAACTCACGTTTCAGAGAAGCGTGCCGGGGCTGCGATGGGCGAGAGCAGCCCGGCCGCGGGAAGGTCGCTGGGAGAAGCGTGGTCTGGGGGCAGGCAGCGAGGCAGGCGCTGCGGTGCTCAGGAGGGGGCTGAAGCCACAGAGGGCCGTGGGCTGGGTTCAGAATGGTACCTGCAACCCACGGCAGCTATTTCAGAGGTCAGGTTGAAATGTCGACACTTGCTTGGCCCTCCTGACAAGCCTTAAAGTTGGAAGAGGAAACGTTTCATTGCTGCTGCAGGAGTCTTGGGAAACCTTTCTGAGTCTTTTTCAGACTTGATTTTAGTGGGGATTTTGCTTCATTGATAATCACATTAAAATTAACAAAACAGAATGAGTTTGGGTAAGGGTTTTACTTGGAAGGGTGGCCTGCTTTTATTGTAGTGATTGTTTGGGGCTGGCCAAAGTGGTTTGGTATGCTCTGCGGGATACATCGTGCCACTGCAGCTGAAAATGGACCAAGAGCCGAGAGTCCTGGCTCCAGAAAGGGACTGTAAGAAATACTCCCAGCGATTTGGACCCGCACCATTCAGTGTCAGTGCCACACAGTATAATACGAAGGATAAAAGTTCGGAACATAAAATCCAGAAAGCGAGACAGGAAGCTCACCCACTTTGGGTGGCTTCTCTCTGGTTTTGAACATTTCTTTGGCCTGTAGTTTCAGAGGGGCATGTGCCCCTCTGCTGCTCGATTGCTGCCTGCCTACAGAAACAGGCACAAAGCTGTTGCAGGTGCAGGTGAAGTAGAGGCAACGGATTACAAATGCAGAAAGTGCTGATGGCAGGCAAACCATTGCCTTTCCTGAAACTTGGCCCATAAGAGCAACAAGAAAAGCTGCATGGAGAACAAGCAAAGCAGTTATTATTCCAGCTGGTACACCTACAAACATTATTTCCTTCTTTTCCAGCTCTTCCTTTTGGATCCTTGCACTGGCTCCATCCTTCTGGCTGAGCATTGTTTTCTTTGAAACTTTTGTTGGTGCAGCTTTCCAGACGCTGTCATGGTTGATAATTTTCTTAAATAGTCATAAGATGCAAATCTGCGACAAGGTTTCAGCTAAGTGGAGTGATCAGAAGGGGCTCGGAAAAGTTTTACGATGTCCCTGCCCCTGAACAGAGGGGGTAGCCATGGCCCGCACCACCTACACGGGTTGACGCTTAAAGCCACAATATTTTTGGAGATGCTTTGCCCTCCTATGAATAGGGCAGGGTCCCTCTAGAGCTGATCCTCCCCCCAAAACTGCCCCTTTGACTTCAGTGGGGGTTAGACCCAACTCTCTCTGGAGAAATGGTTTGGTTTAATAGCAAAGAAAGACAGTTAGTAACGCTCTTGTTAACATGCTCTTCTCTCCCCCCTGCCCAGCTGCTTCTTACCCAGGAGGTTAAGCAGCACAGCCGAAAGCGAGGG